AAAAAAAAAAAAAAGATCATTCTTTTAGATGAATGCCATAATCCCAACTATTTATGTTTCAGTATAAATTCCTTCCTAGCTATACAAAAAATCATGACTGCAAGTATACCTACTCTTTTAATGCTAATCAAAATCCTAACACAGGATGAAGAAACAAGGCCTTCTTAAGTTCTCCTTACTTTCAGTTTCTGGGCTTCTCCTCTCACTTTCAGCAGTTCAGTTATAGAGTCCACAAAACCCTGGTAATGAAAGTTGCACATTTTCTCTATTTCTCGGTCATGATTGCGAATGCGAGTTTCGAGCTTCTCCATGAATCGTCCATGTTCCTCACCATCATAGACAGACCTTTAAAAAAAAAGAAGGCATAAAGATTACACTAGATTTACTTTTAATATATAGAAAAAGAACTAAAACCCAGAAGCAAACTTATTTGGAAATTAAACAGATTTGGTATATAAATCACAGAGTCATCCAATTGTGTTAATATTGCCCTCATGTTGAATAAACACTTTCTTTAGGAAAACCAAAAAATTTGTTTCTTTATTCATTCAAAAATATTTTAGTGCTTAACAGTATTTATCATCTCATGAAGTGAAAGGACTGAATTACAACTTCTTTGTGGCTTTTTTGTCAACCTAATCTAGAAAAACTCAATTTTGGGTAAACCAAACTATCCAATTATTCCATGACTATACCAAGAAGCTGGACAGCTGAAGAAATACCACATAGCTGTGCTCTAGATTCAGTTTTGTTATAGAACTAAAAATCTAAACTTGGTACTCAATAACCCTATATAATACTACTAAAAATAGCCCCTTCCACCAACACTCAAAAAAATTTTTCTTAGTCTCTAAACTATGTGTGAGAACCTGGCCCTCCCTGGTGGTGCTGCAGGTTAAAGCACAGCACTAAAAAGCAAAAGCCACTTCAGCATGAGTTCCATCCCCACCTGCCCCGGATGTGACCACATGGCGTGGCAGACCTCTCCTGACCTGCCTGCTGCTCCCCTCAGCAGTGTACTTCAACCATCTCCCTGTTCTTCTACCCACTCCGTCACTCTGTTTCTGGCCTCTGTACCTCTGGCCTAACCCCCAGTTCTGTATACATAAATAAATAAATCTTTTAAAAAAAAAAAACTATATGTGAGAACCTTACTTTTGCCTCTCCTCAAACTTTTACTCTGACATGATTATATACTTTGCGGGGGAGGGGAGAGAGGGCGGGTGGGGGGGTGGGGGAGAATGGCCTATCTTTCCTCCTCTCCCACTGAAATCAGTCAAGCTACTTAATCTGCAATGCCTACTCTATCCACCTTCCTATAACAATGAAGAAAGAAAGCATTCCAGTCAATCTATAATCAATCCTTTTTGTGACCTCAACAGTGATAATATACAAAGAATCCAAGTGGAAGATGAAAGAGATATATGAAGGGAAAGAAACATTTCAACAATTACCCAATTTGATGAGGAAAGGCAATAGAAAATGGGTATTCCAGAAAGGGAAGAGAAAGAGAACACAAAATTTATCCACAGAAATAATAAAGGAAAACTTTCCAAACTGAAGGAAAGAAATTTTTTTAAAGAAGATGCCAAGAACATACACTGGAGAAAAGAAAGCCTATTTAATAAATGATGTTGGGAAAACTGGATAGGAACATGTAACAACATTTTCTAGAAGTAGACCACTATCTTACATCATACACAAAAATTAACTCAAAATGAATAAAAGACTTGTGGGGAAATGTTCCACAAAATAGCTTTCATAGCCACAACATAGCATGTCTTTGTGGATTTGTTTCCAGCAGCTAGAGAAATAAAAGAGCATATGAACAACTGGTTATGTCAAACTAAGAATCTCTACACAGGCAAAGAAATTATCACTAAAAAAAAAAAAATGACACCCTAATAAATGGTAGAAAATGTCTGCATAACATATACCTAACAAGAGGCTGATAGCCAAGATTTCAAAATTATACAACTAATTAAAAACCCAATGAAAAAATAGGTATAAGAGCTAAATAGGAACTTCTCAAATAATACACACAGGCACATGAAAAATGTTCAACATTGGCCCTCCCTGGTGGTGCAGCGGGTTAAAGCACAGCACTAAGAAGCTAAAGCCATTGAGCATGAGTTCGATCCCCGCCCCGGAGGTGATCCACATGGCACGGTAGACCTCTCCTGATCTGCCCATTGCTCCCCTCAGCAGTGTGCTTCGTCATCATCGGCCTGTTCTGCTCCCTATTCTGTCTCTAGTGAATCCTCTCACCGCCCCTGCACCTCTGGCCTGTATACCCCAGTTCTGTACAAATAAATAAATAAATCTTTAAAAAAAAATGTTCAACATTACTTCAGGAATATCATCAGGAAATGGCATTCAAACCACAGTGATATATCACTCCACACTGTGACGATGGCCACATCAAAAAGAATGGAAACAAGTGTTTACAAAGATTTGGAGAAAAAGGAATCTTCTTCCCGTGTTGGTCCAGCCCTATGGAAAACAGCATGGATATTTGCAAAACATTAAAAACAGACCTACCATATGATCCAGCAATTCCATTTCTTAGATATTTACTTGAAGACTCCATAAAACACTAATTCAAAGAGATGTATACACTACTATACTCAATGTGGCACTGTTTACAATAGTCAAGTTATGGAAACAACGTTAAATATCCAAGGACTATGAGTAGATCACCAAGATGTGGTATAAATACATAACGGAATACCACTTAGCTAGGAAAAAAAAATAGAGAAACTTGTCATTTATAATAATATAAATAGAACTGGAGGGGATTATACTAAGTTAAACAAGTCAGAATGAGAAAGACAAATAGCAGATGTCGTCATTTATATTTAGAATATAGAGAAGCACTATAAAGGATCAGATACAACTAAGCCAATAACAAAGCCTAGAAATCTGACTGTAGAATTGAGGCTACCAGAGGGGGATGGGAAAAAGGAGAGCAGAGTAGGTAGGAGGCACAATAGACTACAGTGGAAGACTAAGACTCCCGTGGTAGAAGGTGTGGTATAGTAACACATACCTTGGGTATGATCCTATATCTCTAAATCATATGCAGAGTTATCAAATAACTTTGGCACAACAAAAGAGAAAATAGGAAGCAATCAATTACTAATCTTCTTAAGTATCAGCCTCACTCTAAATTTCTACAACTTCCACCTTCAAATTCTGTAAGTAGCAACATAAAGATCACACACTTTCATAATAGTGTAAACAGGTAGTCCAAAAAACGGATGTACTCTCTACATCTTTATCCCTAGTCCCCAAATGTTTCTCCTATCAGAGGGTCATTATCATTACAATAATCTCTTTAATTATAATGATGGTAAATTACACAGAAGATTTACAGTGGTTCCCCTGGGTATCTTGAGAACTGAAACATAATAAAATGTGAAGTCCACATATTTAAAATAGGGATTTCTGGACGGGGGGGGGGGGAGTTCAAAAGAATTAAAAACAAGGGTTCTGCTAGGAATTTGTATCCCATGAATATGCATCAGGAAATCCATGATTCCCACATTTTATGTGGAGTCATAAATATATGTATATGCAGAATCATGTATTTTTAAGGGGAATTGATCCACAGTTTCCATCTGGTTATCAGAGAGGTTAAATACCACTGGTTGAAGTTTTGTTTCAAGTCACTAACCACAGGAAAAAAGCAGCTATAGTTCACTACCTACCTAGTTAACCTGAATAAGCATTTCAATTACCTCAGTCTTACTGTAACTAATATATCCAAGATATAACATAACCAAAATATATAAATGCTAAAAAACAAACAAAAAAAAACTACTCTTATAATTCTGGAAAGGCCGGATGCCTACTAAAGTTACTCTAATATTTGTAGTCAATATTGTCCTTAAACAGTGGCGTTCCCCTACCCATCACACTTTACAAGCAACTAAAACTAGGGGAAGACTGCCATCTAGTGATGGTTCATTTCTAACATTTCTTGAAACTTAAATCTGAAGTGAACAACTACAGGGAACACTTCTAAGTCTAAAAACTGAATTCTATGCTTGCTGGCCAAAGATTCATAATTAGTTCTTAAAAGACATTTTATATAAAATACTCTACTTTCCAAATCTAATAGAAATCAGGGTCCTGAGAAAAAGGAATGCACTTTTGACATGTTCAGGTGAACCTGACACAAGTAACACTATCAATGAAATAAAATGCATCTCTAGTTTAATCACTTGTGTTAACCCCTGAAAAGTGGTTAACTTCTCCTGATGGAGCATCAGGAAAAGAGAGAGAGAGAGAAATAGGTCACTACAATTGAAGGGGAAATCCCCTATTGTCAAACACTAAACCAGATTGTAAAAGCAATGGTACTTCTTTATAATTTATTTTTAATTACTTGTGATAACCCAAAAATTAGTGTAGTACCAAGTAAAAGGTAAAGAAGAAAAAAATTCTTGGAAATTAATAACATTTTGTAGCCTAAAATTTGACTCAGTTACATAAATACTGCTTGGTAGAGTCTGATAATTAAAAAACATCATATGAACCACAGGTTTTTGCAAAAAGGAAAATGTTTTATCCTAGTGTCTATTTCTGATGCAAACTTCTAAACATCACAACTAGATTTCATGCGCATATTAAAACAGACTTTAATTTGTAAAATGGCACCTGAAGAATTATATTAAATATTAAATATTTATCACTCATATTTATCACTTAGTTCCTGTGCACCTTATAAATTAGCTATTATTCCAAGTTTATAAATGAAGAAACTAAAATCCAAGACAATGAAGCAACTTGCCAGATTCACACAGCTAGGAAGTATCCTCTCTGTAACTTCAGTCTGTCTGGTTTTAAGCTAAGGAAAGCAAGAAAGTCATGAGGAACCCTAAAACATTAAGAGTTGAAAGAGGTTTTGAAGATGGAATACAAAGCTTTTATTGTACAGTGGAGGAAACTGAGGCCAAGAAAAGTTAAATGCCTTAATCAAAATTACACTGCTTGTTACTAAGACAGCTGGGCCCAACTCCCAAAGAAAACACAATTAAGAAAGCTACTGCAATATGAAGCCAATACAAAGTTAAGTGGTTGAGACAGAGAGACACAGAGACAGAAAGAGACTTATTTTTCATCAGGATGTTGCCTAGTCGTTGTGCCTATACAACAGCCATTCCATTCTTCTTCCTGTTGGGAAGAGTCTCAATTTATGTTATTTCACCTTCCCATCCTACTGCAAGGGGCAAATACTGTAAACCAATCATAGTAACTCCATTCCTTTTATCAATGACCAATTAAAAGGTGCCACAACACTCACCAATTGGGTGAATTGGGTTGCCTGACTATGGAGCCTC